TATTTATATGGATTCCACTGATAGTGAACGGTATATAAGGGCTAAGACAAAGTCAATATCAAAGTTCTAATGGTAGTGAAACTTCTCTGTTACAATTTAATTAGCATTTTCCATATGGTGAACATTGGTAATTCTAGAGTTAAGGGATCTTAGCTGCTAATTACAAGAGAAGTCCTGTTAAGATTAGAATTAAACAATCATTCGTGTCTACAGTTTAAGACAAAAATCGAGTGACTCTGTTTGGTTTACTTTTACATTTGATGTTAACCAAGCCATGAACTCTTTCATAGTCCTAGATAAGTAAAGAAATATTAAAACACGTGTCTTTTTCTTGTATATCGAAAAATAAACATTGTACTTATAGGATAGTGTTTATCAATGAATGTGACTGTGAAAGGGTTAAACATATATGTATATATATATACATATGTATATTATTGCAACTTTTTTAGCTAAAAAGTAAAATTTGTAATTAGTCATGAATTTATTATTTGTGATTATTTGAAGGAATAATTCTTACGTGTATATTCTTAAACACCGTCAAGCTTTAAACTTTTCAACGAACACATGGCTAGTTTCCGCTTTCCATCCCTTCACTTTTTCTTAATGCGCAGTCCACTGCGAAGACTTCTGCTTCTAGTGTGAGGTTATGGACATGAACAACTTTTTATCTGCAAAATTAAACTTAAGTATTGAAAATTATGTTGCGTTAGTATGTTCTTCGCCGTCCGGGTTCATTGGGTCCAAGAAATGTTCTACTGAACAATATCGTATTATATGGTATGATGTACGAAACGCTGAATTATTATATTATGATCTTATATAAAACTTTGAATCAAAACTTGTAGTATTTGCATAGAAAAAATGTAGTCTTACATAATCATTTCACTTCTATAGCCATATATATATATATATATATATATGCCATCTTCTATAGAGCACTACCATAGAAGTTTGGAATTTTGTACCATCATGAATAAGGGGCATTTGACAAAGTTTACCAGCTCCAAGTTTCTGATAGGTAATGAAACGTTAAAACATTTATATTTTTGTTTTATATTGTGTATCTAAACATAAACCTGGCATTGACAGTTGTTTGTGTTTTTAGTGATAGTGAAATATTTACTGATTGTTTTATTTGGTATTTTGTTTATTTTGAATGTAAGAAATATTTAGAGTTTCTTCAAAGAGTATTTCATCTTAAAAACATTAATATGTGGTGTAAAACCTTGTTTGGTAATTTTAGTTTAAACATGATGTCTTGCTGATACATTTCCAACTTGTACCGAAGGCATTCGTTTTATACCTCCCTTACTTTAAGGCTTCCAGTTCTGGTATAATAAAATTATAATTAGGTAGTATTCGAACTCGTGAAGAATGAGTTACTTTTTATTATGGTTTCAAGCTGAGACGAAATAAATTGATTTTTTTCACACCAGTTATGGCCCCCAGTGGGTCAACGGTAAAATTTCAGACTTAAAACACTAAAACCCGGTGTTCGATTCCTCCCGTGGACAGAGCGCAGATATCTGGTAGCCTGTTGTGTAGCTTTGTGTTAAAACCAGCAAACTCGCCAATTATACGATCTAAAAACCAAGAGTTTGACAAATCCGTAAAATATTGAAATTTATGTTATGTTACATTTAATCATTCCAAAGGTTTAGTTATGTTAATTCAGATTAAGATTAGTTTCTTGAGACATTATTTAATGTTGACAGATAAAGTGTTATTGATATTTCAAGTTTATCGTAAATATGACATACAGGTCTTACCAATCCTAACATCACATTTATCTGTTATCGCTGATGGTAAACCTGTTAGAAGCCATACAGTTTGTATTGATAAATATATTTATCTGTCTAAGTAATAGTGTATAACCAGATAAACTAAATCCAAGCTCTCGTTTTTACAATATATGTATTCACGATTTTAATCTACTCAAAACATCTTATTTTACAAGAATCTAATTATTTGACCCAAGCAAATCAAATGTTTTGTACATTAATCTACCTGAAAATATTATATTACCTATAATCAATTTGTATTAAATGTGTACATAAATTTAAAGTTTTTTTGAAGTTTAGCAAAAAGCTACACAATGGGCTATTTGTGCTTTGCCCACCACGGGTATCGAAACCCGGTTTTTAGCATTGTAAGTCCTCAGACATACCGCTGTGTTACTGGGGGCTATAGTATATCGCAGTATATTGTTCAAGTACTATAATTAAATTCTGATTGTGTCCATAATTTAATTCTTTTCTTGTAATCATGGAATACTGGTTTTCTAAAATTTCAAAATATGTTTCTTATAAAATATACTTCACGAAGGAAGATAAAAATGTTAGTAATTCAATTATATACATGCCTACTCATTTCTTATTTTTTGTTTGTTTTTGAATGTTACTTTGAAACCTGAGAAAAAAGCCAATTAAATAATCACAAACAATAAATAAATGGTATTAAAATACGTCATGAAACCAATTTAATTCTTATCGTTAAAGCATTCTTAAATCATTATTTGTTTTTATTGAATTCAGTATAGTACTTTAAAAGTAAGGTAGGGGGCAAGAACTTTTAATTACAGTTTGTTGAATTCTATTTTCTAGTAACCGTCTAACTCGAATCCTTCGAAGGTAGCTATAGTTAACTACAGACAAGCAAACACAGAGAAGAAGAAATATGGATATATATATTAATAAAGTGACAAACATTGTAACACGTGTGATAACCGAACCTTCAGTTTCGCTAAAAATAGTAAAATATACAGTGTAGCTACAAGATCTCAACAATAATTCTTCTAAAGAAACAAATACAACTGAAATTACACTGTTTGAGACTTATTGAATCATCCTTGACCCGTACAAGTAAGTATAAGATTTAGAGTTTCATTTGTAAATGATATATTCCTGATATCTTTTCTCAAAAAAATAATTCAGCTGACTAGAAGAGAAACGATTCTGATATCATTTAACAAATATAAAAGCTTCTATCTTCTAGAATTACTACGGTGAATGTGAAATTGTCGTTTAATGTTGACAACTAAATGAAAGCACATCAAATGATTTTTGTCATAGTCTTGTTTTTTAATCTATGAAATATATTCAGTTATTGATTGGCGTTTTGAGACGTAGAATGCAAGTTTGATATGTAAAGTTTTACCCTAGGAAGTATATATTTTGTTCATTTGTCTACGAAGAAAAGAAAACAGATTAACTTTTGAGACTTTTCTTAAGTAATAGTATATCTCGGTGTTTGAAATAAAGAATAGTTATTCGTACATTTAAAGATTTAAGCTATATCTCTACAAAATCGTAAATTCTTTTTTTTTGTGTGTGTGTGAGAATGCTCTTTTTGTTTGTTTGTTTGATGTTAAGAACCAAATCCACACAATGGGCTATCTGTGCTGTGCCCCCGTGAATATTTTGAACCATTGAATGCAATGAAATCCACTAATTCTCATTATGCTGCGACATTTTTAATGTTTCGAAAAAGAAAATATCAGAAGAATTTTAATAAATAATCAAAGAAGGCTATACAAAACATGACTATCTTTTTACTATAGGGTTATTTGCAGTTCCAATGTGAACTGTATAATAAAATATGACAAACTGATCACGTTTAACTCATTGTCATTAATTTGTAAACTACATTAATTTCTCTGATCATTGTATTCTTGGATTCAATTTGCAGGCTACAAAATCACTTTTTTTCACTCAGAAAAATTTTTACTTTCTCTCTTTTCATTTTAAATAAAACCATAGGTTCTTTAAAATGAAAAACAAGAGAGATTTTTCAATTATTTTATAAAATAATTTGGAAATTTCAATTAAAGGCTTTTTGACTGATTTTTTTTCAATTGTAAAAAAACAAACAAAAAACACGACTTAGTACTAAACGTAATATATATATATATATATATATATATATATGAAAAGCACAGGGATAGAACATATTTGTATTTTTATCATCATTAAAATATGTCTCCAAAGACGTGGTAAGCATATGCAGAAAATAAATATTCTTGATGAAGAAGGTCTGTTTTAGTTACCGCAAAATAAATGTCAGAGGACATGAATAGTTTGTTTGTTTTACATACACAAAGAGCTACATGCGGTTTATTCGCCGGGGATCAAACCCTGGGTTTTAACATTGTAAGTCTGTAGACTTACCGCTGACTCACCTGTGAATTAACATGGATAAGAAGAAATAGCTTTTAAAATCGTTAGTTTATTTCAGCAATTTCTCATTGAAATAAGTTTGAGATTTTGAGCATTCGAAAAATATATCAAGGCGGAGCAACGAAATATCTTATTTAAAAATTATATAAGCAAAGCATTTATTTCTTATTCAGAATATCTTCAGTGAGAGAATGGATCTTTTTTTTATAAATGTGGGACATATAATCAGTTGAATTAACAATTTATTTTCCATATGTTTTGTTAGTAGATGACATAGAGTAATTCTTTAAATATATATATATATATCTTAACAAATCCGTTTTGTAATATTCCAAGGAAAAGTTAGAAGATGGAGTGACAAGCTTAAACTATTTCCTTCCCCCCAAAATTTAAAATAACAGCTCATCCAAATGTTATTAATGAAATAAGGTATATGTATATCTTAGAAGAGACTGATTAGTAGATATCTATATAATAGCCATTGTACCAGTTGAAATAACACGGCTTTTTCGGGAGCATAGTATATGCCTTTAAAATTGATGCGTGAAGTTATTTAATAGATAGTTACATACATAATTTAACTGGTTGTATTTATCAGTCTTTGATACAATGTTTCTATATCGTCTGGTAATGGTACTTATAAGATACTCTGATTTTGTTCTTTTTACGTTATTGGTAAGAAATCTATATTTTCAAACCCCATGAGAAAGGGAGGTGAAAATGCATTAAATCAGCAGATATGAATGTAAATCGAAGTAAATGTCTGCTTATTTGAAGTATAATGAAGTATAATTATTTGAAGTATAATGTATTTCCCTCGGTTTTTATTCAGAGACTCAATACACTATAGGCAAAAATGAAAACAACCAGATGTCTCTCTAAACTAAAACACACATCCTTCATCGGCAAATCTGGAATCAACTGCTGCCCTGGTTTGCCCGTGAGGACTACTTGATAGGTTTTGAAGACAGTTCAGTGGTTGGTATACACCGGGGTATATATTTCCTTGGTTACTCTGACTTTCGGTTAAATCTCTGTCAATTGAATGATATCCCTGAGGTAAGGTATCCAACTTTGGCGCCATCGCGTAGCTGTTGTACACACTATAGTAGTTTTCATTACTGTCTTCTAAATCATATTTTGTCTGTTTGTGGTTGTCTTTGAAGGCAAGATTATACAAGATCTCTGGATCGCAGATGAACTTGTAGACATACCGCTCCCCTAGTGATCAAAAACTAATTATTATTATCCAATATACATCTGTAAGAAAGTCATCATTTAAAACACGTATACCCACCAAATACAGCCATGTTAAAAAACGGAAACATATTCTACGAATAAATAATATTATAAAACATACAAAACAAGTTATGGATGCTCAGACGTGGTATATTGAATGTGTTTTTACAGTAATGTAGGAAGTTTAAAGTTTGCAGAGATTACTTTAAAAAGGCAAAGTAAGACGAGTGTACTCCAGAAGAGTATATTGTATTCCTTTTTAAAACCTCAGAGAAAATAAAACAAATGTGAAATAATTATTTTTAATCTATGTCTCTAGAAGCTTAATTTCACGTGCTGTGTTTGAAAAAAGAATAAATAATACCAGAAGAGGTATATTTGATATTAAACATCCTAAAATAAATTGTATACTTAAGTTGTTATATATTCAAATATACAATCAGATTAGATAATTTCTTTTGCGACACACTGTGCTACTATATCAAAAATAAAAATCAAAACAACGTTTTGTTTGGCACAATGAAAGATAAAATGTTTATAATTTTTTTTCAGCCGACTAGCTTCGATAGGGCTCTGATGATGTTAACTGTGTTAATGAAACTTGTCAGCTGGAAACTTTTAAATAAATATTTTATCTTTCATCATGCCTAAAAATATTATTTTTGTTTTTCACTCTTAACCAAGTTAGGATTGGTGCACATTTTATAAGCACCATTAGTTTCCCATTTATAAATCACTTTCACAAGTTTTGCTAGTTGCAAAATGTTTAGTGCATAGATGTATCGTATCATATGAAGGAATCATAGCTGGTATAAATAAAAACTGGGAAACGAGTATGGCATTTCGACATTAATACAGTCTCTACTTTGACCAGTGAGTGGAGGAGAACATTCTTCAGTAAATGTGTAGGGTTCAGGAGCTTCTTGTTGACCAGTCTATAAATCCTGTGGCTACTTACACACGGTACTCCAACAATATCCTTGCAGAATGACACAAGACATTCTCCTACATCAGGATAAAATCGGATCCAATTGCATTCCCGAAAGTTCGTACAACTAGGTCCAATAGCGCGTTAACGAACCGTCGATAAGTAAATCCACCCCTCAGAAGCACAATAAGGTCTGTAAGTTGATTCACGTTGATGCTTCCCTACACCAAAGCAAAACCGTCAACGACGTTTCGTAAAGCATATCGTTCATCTCCTCACACAAACCCATCGATCATCAATAAAGACACAAAACCTTGCTTCGTTTTGATGTTGTATAGGCGCACAGTAGTGTTGCTGTTAGTTCTCGTGATCTCGAAAATAGTCCAAACGAGCTGTATGGTGAAATGTAGGGCTGTAGCAGGTTTTACTTTCTTAATTTGCTTAGTCAGAAACATTCGCCCGCAACCAAAGTGTAATATTGTCACAGAGTTATATAAGAATAATAAGAAACATTGAAGCGATCATTTAAAAACACGAAAGGATAAAATTTGAAGAAGAAATGGGAGTATTGTTTGACCAAAATTGGTAATACGTGAAGATTACAGCCGTGCATTCTCATAAAAGTGGATGCTTGTTGGTTTGCATTTAATTAAGCATAAAGCTACACAATGGGCTATATGTGCTCTATCCATCACGGGTATCGAAAACCGGTTTCTGGCGTTGTAAGTTTGCAGATATATCGCTGTGCCACTGGGGGGCAAAAGTAGATGTAAAATGAATAAAACATTTGAAATAGTTTTATATATATTTATATATACATCTATTATTTCAGATAAAAATGAAGACATATCCTAGGAAAATTAACCTTACTATCATGTAAATCCAAAGAAAAATAATGAAACACAGATTATAATTTAAATATATATAATGTTGTTTAGCCTAAAGCTGCACAATAGGCTCTTTGCATGGATCGACCTCAAACTGTAGCGTTATAACTTTGGTTGCTTATTTCGTTGTTAAGCATAAAGCTATAAAATAGGCTCTTTGTGCTACCAGTTTGGCAACCAATTTTGATTTCATTCCTTTAAGTCGCTTGCTCAATCCTTTTTTTTTGGCCGCACCTTTTTTTCACATCTAAGGTGTTTTTGATTAGATTAATGTTACAGCTATAGAGCATAGTTTAAAGTAGTAGGCGGAGGGCATTAAGGGTGATCCTGTCTTAAGGTAGTTTTTAATATTTCTCGCATTACAAGTTGTCTAGTTAAATATACTCTTCCTAGATATAATTAAATATAAGAAAGAATTAGGGGAATTCGACAAAAAAGTGCATTCTGTTTACAGTTCTGTAAATATAAGAGAGATGCGATCATAAATTCAGATAAAATAGCAAAATTTAATAAAGAATACAGAAAAATCGAGGAATAACTTGTTTTTTTATCATTTTATTATTACGTAAAGCAACGAGGATAACAGAACAAGCAAATGTTTACTTTTTTATGTTCTTCTGTATTAATAGAAATAAATTCTAATAACAATTGTAAAACTACTCAAGAGATTGAATATCTGTTCTAATTTTCTATGATTTTAAGAAAAATTTTCAGAGTTTATTTCTTATAATTTATTCTAGTTTTCTGTGAGCGGAGTCAAGGTATTTATTTCACTTAATCAATTCCATCCACAATTGAGTTCCGATTGAGCATAAAGAAAACCAATAATTCTATCCAATCTTAAATAATTCTTAATAAGATTACCTAAGTATAACTTAACGAAGAGTTTATGCAAGATCCACATCAATAAAAATAATGATTGCTCATAACAAAATACTTTGTATCATTCCGTGAATTCAAAGTGGGATGGTGTCAACTCTAACAAACACTTTTCCTTATATCCCTCTGTGGATTCAAATAAGGATGAAAAAATATCAAAGGTATGGTTTATTTTAGTATATTATTTTCTAAAATTATTTTAAATAATAATGTTTATCACACAGAATTGAGTTTATTGTTATATCCAAGTAAGAAAGAAGGCAATTTAAAGGTAATTTATTTTAATCATTACTTCTGAAAAGGAATTATTATTTGAAACACCCCAGAAGGACATTTTTATTACAATAAACAGCAAAAAAAGGAGTAATTGTTCAAGAAACAACTTTATCCTTTTGAAAAATCCAAGAAAAATTTCAAATAGTACTAGGTGACCTTTTGTATTTTTCCATAAGACTGAGAGGGGGTAACACTAATAGTGTTTATTTAATCAAAATATTTTAAACAGATAATTAATCTTAGGTACTTCAGAAATATCAAACGAGGAGTTATTGTTTTATTAGAATATTCTAATAATGCAAGGAAGAAGGAAAAAAATACTTCAATACTCTATTCTGTGATATTATATTAAAATAATAACAATTGAAACTCATAATCACACAACAAATCTAAGTAAAAATAGCTAACTTTTCTATAAATACTGATAAGAATAAGAAAAGTTTAGGAATATATATATATATATGTATGTGTGTGTATATATACTGTTTAAATACAACATAGAATTGGTACAATACAAGGAAAATAGCCTATGATCTAAAATAAGAATGTGTTCACTTCGGAGCAGAGTGCAATTTATTCCATGGATCTACAAATTCAAATAGAAACACAAGAATTTGTAAAAAATAAATCTTATTCCACAATTTTGTAAATCCACGTGATAAGAATACAATATTCTGACGAATTTGATGTATCCTCTTATTCTTAAAATTGTTAGTTCGACTAAAGAACTTTTAAGGAATAGTTTATGCCAGACAATCCCTTTGTAAATTTTAAAATGACTTGACACTCAAGAAGGAGGAATTAATTAAATATATTTTTCTGCAAGAACACGCACAACTCCTGAACATATATTGTATGTTAAAATTTTATTGCACCACAAAGAAACAAACGCAACAGAAAGAAAGATAAATGAGGATAAGTGAGGAATAATTTTATTTTAACTATTTTATGATAGAATGCGTAAAGTATTCGTAAATTAGCATATTTTATTATAGCTATAAATTCATTTAGGAACAACGATAGCTAGAGAATAAGTTATTTATTTCATTTGAAGTTCCAAGTAATCTAAAAGAAACTGAATATAAAGCATATTTTATAAATACAAATAAAACAAAGAATAACGCTATAATTTTTGGAGATCATTTTTCTAAGTGGAATAGGAGTAGGGTTAGTAATAATTCATTTTATCTTATTGTCTTTTAATTTTTTCTACCAATGAAAATAAGATGGCAAAAACATAATCGTCTGATAGCATTAATATTTTCTGTTATTTCTATTAATGTTTATATTTTACCGAAAAGAGAAGAAATCAGAGGTCAACTTCTTTCTAATCTTTTTATGCTTAAAATTAAATCAGAAAAACCAAAAAAGTTTATTTCTGATTAATCTTTAGCTTTAACTAACTATAGGGACAATTAGAAGAGTGGTTTATTTTTATTCTATAATTACTTACAGAGTAATTTATAATTGGCCTAACACTGTCGGAAGCTGAAGGGTACGCGGAGGATGGTCCCCTGGTAGGACAGTGGTAGATTTAAGGACTTACAATGCTAAAATTCGAGATCCGATTTCCCGCGGTGGACACAACAGATAGTCCAATGTGGCGTTGCTCTAAAAACCAAACAAACGTGCAGGATGATATGTTTGACGACCAAAAGGTTGATCAATAATGTTAAATGTAGTAAGTACCTATGCTCTTGGTATTATGCCTCTGTCAGGGTGATTGCTAGCAGATAAAACAGCTGTTATAACCCTGTTTCGTAGAATTTTACTAAACAAAAATTTAGCTCAGTACACTCTACAAGTGTAAACTTTGACATTCTCGACACATGTCCTTCTGCTATGAGTACTGAGGCGTTCAGCTATTTTTTTTTTCAACTTGAACAACCATTTGTCGTAGACATTTCATCTTTTGATATCATCATACGTGTATCCTCCAATCTTTGCAAAACTCCAACAGTGTTGGTATGAATTATGAATCACCCTGTATCTGTGAGTGAATACAGTAACAAAAGGGCAAGAAGAATGAAAAGAGTTTGAGACTGAGTATATTTTATTCTCATCCTTTCTAAGTTCAGGAAAAGACGCCCAATTTGAAATAGAATCTAAATTATGTTATTGTTATTCAAACAGAATTATTAAAGAATACAGTTTGTTACATTCTATTTTTCTATTACCCAAAGAAAAAATAGGTTAACTTAGTCAGTATCAAATTTCATATTATCTTTTAAAATCATGGTAAAACAAGAAACACATCAATAAAAAAATTGTATAATATTCCATCTGATTATAAATCTAATTTAAGTTTCGAAAACCTCAAGCAATCTGCTCATTTTGTTCTATTCTTACATAATTCTAAGAAGGAATGGAAATAACATGTTCTAGCTTTCTGTAAAACAAAAAGTAACGAAGAAGCACAGTTTGAATAATAGGCCACTGTTTGTTAGTGTATTTGCTATAATTTCATAATAAATGAATTAAAACGCTTACAAGAGACTGTTTTACTTTATCATTTAGGATCTGTAAGTAGAGTTGTAAGAAACCTTTCTTGTCTTTTTCTATGCCATTAATAGCTGAATGATTGAAATAATAAAACGTTTATTGCTTTCAATAAAGCTAAATACAACAAGTAAGAGGAATTTTTACCATCTATAACAATATAAATCTGTTATTTTTTATGCAAATCAGGTATTACATGATCCATCATGTGATAGGACATTTGGTGAGGGGCCTTGCATCTCTACGGTTAATGAAGTATGACTACCACGAACAGCAAGGTTAGCCTGGCACTGATGTTGCATTCTTAAACTCAAAGTACTGATATCCTTGACTACTCCCTTCAAAAGCTGTGTAAAAAGTATTTATAGTGTCTAAAGTCATTTGACGGAATGTGACGAGTTTCCCAAGAGCACATCATGCATGCTTGGTGGAACAGAAGTCTAGAAAGTATGTACACTAACCCATTTGGTCAACCCCTCTTCAAAAAAAAAAAAAAAGTCGCCTAGTTTAGTACAGTGGGAGCAGACATGTTCATCCATTAGATAGAAGTCAGGCCAATTGGGCTACTACACAGCAGCATTAAAGGTCGTAGGATGTGGTCCATATAAGGTATGCCATTAATGGTATTTTCAACCTTATATGACACAACTGGTTTAATACCCACATAAGAGAGAGAATCTTAAGGTTCAGGTACAACCAACACTAGTTTAAAATACTGAACAAACAGAGTTAAGTCAATCACTAGCATCTGTCGTCTATTATGCGGCTATTCTTAATCGAATAGTGAGATTTTATATGGTGTATTCGGTGGCATATAACAGTTCGAACCATGAACGTTCTGATCCTTAATCTGCATACATATCTCTAGATCATGCCCAGCTCATTAATGGTAATATTCTGAAGGACGTATATGTCGAGATGTCCACCAAGGATTATCACTGTCCAAGGAGTTCTTGTGCCAACACCCAAGCATATTTGCGAAAATTGATGCAATTATAGATCAGTATAAATACTACAATATATTAGTTCATCATGTTATACCTTTTGGAAAGAAGCTTATTAAGCAGAATTTCGTATTTTAAGAAGATAGTGATCTCAAAAACACTTGAAAGTAACGTCAAGCTTACGTGACAAAGAAAGAAAGCTCAGGTGATCTATGGAATGGACACCACAAAGTTCAGACCTTAACTTTATAGAGCAAAACGTTGATTTGCTGGACTCTGTGTTTGACAAAAGTACGAACTGTACTACTAAAGAAAGCCTGTAGACAAAACTTCAAAAAAAAATAGAATTCAGTTACACCAGAAACTTTGATATAAGACATAATGCCACAAAGATACCAAGTTGTTACTGATGTTAAAGATGTCCATACTAAACATCAGCATTAAAGAGCTACGAAACGTTGCTATCAAACGTTTCAGTCTTAGTAACAGTTTAAAACAATGTTCCAATTTTCAAACTAAAAATCTGATAGTCAATTTTGCAGCACAAACCTCAAACATCTCTGAGTACTATATAAATACGTATTGATTAGCGTGTTGGGCTACGGATCTTAAGGTCCGGGGTTCGAGATGCGATATCCTACTGGACACGATCCGTATTTTCAGCTCTGATTGCGTTATAATTGTAACATTAAATCTCACTTTTGTGTTGAAAGTAGTCACATATATACGGTAGGTGCTGCTACCTAGTTGTCCTCCGTCTCTTCAGCTGATCTAAATTAGGGATGGTTATTCCAAAGCTTTAGGAGTTTCTGACCTGATCGTTTAGCCTGTAAATCGCATAAAGTGTCATTACGGTTGAAATAATTATTAACAAATACCAATATTGTGTTAATGTTTATCTTTGATCGTGTATAGTTTGCATTAAGTCATAGTCGGTAAAGATTAATTTGTGACTAAGGTTCTGTGGTTCGCGTCCCGTTACCAAACAAAAAAAAGTCACGTTTCGCACTTTGGGACCGTGGATGCGGTATAAAGGTGACTGTCATATCCCACTGTCCGGTCTGTCGATAGTAGCACAAGAGTTGGCTATGGATGGTGCTGCTTAGCTGTCTTCTATATTGTCTATCAGTTCAAAATTATGGACGGCTAACACAAATAGCCCTCAAATAGCTCTGTGCAGTATACAACAAAAATAAACATATTACACACATATGTGTTCCCTTATATCCAATGCAGTTTGATTTGAATTTTGCGCAAACCTACACAAGAGCCATCTGCGTTAGCCATTCATAATTTAGCAGTGAAAGACTAGAGGGAATGCGGCTAGTCATCACTACCCATCGACAATTCTTGCGCTACTCTTTTACCAACGATTAGTGAGAGTGACCGTCACATTTTAAAGCTCCCACGGCTGAAAGGGCGAGCATGATTGGCGGGATGGGGATTTGAACCCGCGACCTTCAGATTGCGAGTCAAGCGCCCTAACCACCTGGCCATCCAATACAGATACAGTAGTGTTCGTGAGCCTTAAATGCTTTAAGCTGATTAGTCTTACCTGTCACTTTTTGCATGATCCCTTTCTCGTAGTAATACCGTAAGGATCGACTCAATTTGTCATAGTTCATAGCTGGTCTATTCTTCTGTAGGCCCCAACGTCTCGCTACCTAAAACCAATAATGAATATGTCAGTGTTTAAAATAAAAGACTTTTAAAATCGATATTTTTGTCTAATTCCTTAAGAAAGCCGTATTGTATGTAATACAAATATAGATAGAGTCAACTTAAAGATGTTTATATATAATACAATTTTCCCTTAAAATGATAACTACAATCAGAATCAAAAACTGTTTGTTTGAAGAAATTTTATAACTAGTGAAAAAAAAAAGTTTTATCTAAATTTAAACAGTAAGTTTAGATAAAAGATGAAATATCGAATCTTTTCAAGGTATAAAAAGCAACAATTTGCAATACTCTACTTAGTAACCTATCATATTTTGCCTTGTGTCCAACTCAATGTCCGCTAGTTTCTTAATGTTATTTGATGAGCTTCCAGATCAATGTCGGTGTGAAAAAAAGTCTGGATATGGCGCACGAAATGTAGCTATTTTGGAAGAGTTTCTAGCAATCGCCCACCAACAGATTTGAATCTAAACTGCTGATGTAACGTTCATATTTTGTTAGGTAATATACTGAATTAATTTGATATTTTTCGAGTGAAATATTAAGTCATATAATGTCGAATAAGAAACCCCGTTCGCGGTTTATGTGCCGTCCTTTTTTAAAGATTTACTGTGATGAGATTAAATAATAATCAAGATAATTTTTGTTCTATCTTACATGCTAGAAGATGCGTTTGTTCAAGTTTTCAGAACAAATATAGTGTGAAGTAGAGGGAGTAAATATTAATAGTAAAGTCTGGGGTACAAATACGATTAAAATTAAGTAGTTAGCTATAAGTTTGAAAATACTTTTTTATTTGTTCAGCACAAATATACACAGAAAATATCTATGCTCTTCCCACCGCTGATATCGAAACCCACTTGTTAGTGTTATAAGCCCTCTGACTTACCGCTGAGGTACGGGAGGATCAAGATTGAAAGCAATCTCATTCGTTAAAATAATAACATATGTTTTAAAATTAGGCTTAACAATTAAACTCTGCGTAATGAAAAACGTACTGCAAGAATAATTTACTCTTCATAATCATGATTATCATTTGATTCAGAATTCGTTTTACACAACTGACTTACGTACAAATAAAAATTAGCAATATGCAAAAAAAGTATTACTAAAACTTAACACAAAGTATAAATTCTGTGGTAAAAATTGTGACATATACTCTTTAAATTGGTACTCTCCATACTAGGACACTCATTTGTTTTGTTTTCTTCGTATTAAAGAGAAATTCCTTTAAAGATACATTTAATAATATTTTCCTCTCAATTATGTTTATGCACATATCCTAAAAATAAATAAGTGTTCTAGCGTCCATTGAAATGCCCAAAGAATAAAAAAGGATTTTGTACAAATTTAAAGCTTTAGAAAGTTCATTTTGACTTAAAACATTTTTTTTCCACCTGTAACAAAGCTTTGAAGTAATAGTTTCTATTTCTTTCTCTTAGGTGAGAGTAAATAGCTAATGTAGGGAATTTTCCAATGGATCCAAATATTTCCAGAAGCTGATTTGCATATGAAATACAGGATCAAAGAATATGTAGGATGCTGATTCAACACATCTGATTTAAAAATTTACATATAAGGACAAAAGCAGCAGGGACTTTGAGATCAAAATAAGAAATATATAAAGACCTCTGTTGTGTTAGATGAAATATGTATCTGGTTATTTAATGTTGTATGAACATAAAGACATAGTGAAAAGCTGTAAGAACATGATGCAAAATATGTATAAATATAGGGAGAATGGGCGAAAACCCAAAGTTAAATTTTAATATGATTATTAAAAAATACAAAGAAAAAAAAACATGTTTCGGGCGTAGATTGCTTTTGCTGGCGGAGCATGTGTAATATAATATCAGTCCTAAGACTGTATACTGTAAATAGTTTGTGTTGAAAAGAACTCTTACATATTCTAACGACAAATTTTTGGCAGCATAAAACAGTACTTACGATATGCCAAAGAATGTCATAATGTAGTTCTGATACATTCCGTTCCATTACGACTTTATGTTGACAGTGGTTATCAAGTGATTTGCTTATTTGCATTAACAAAATGTATTAATATAATGTACTCAAACCTATGTATTTGTACTAAAGTGGATCTTTTTCAGGTCCTGTGAAAGTTTCAGTGCGCTATCACTCACAGGACCGGACGAAAATTCATGTTAATAAGTCGAAATGTTGTCGTAATTTGCTGACTGCCTGTATATAAAAATTATTTATCAAGGGGTCATTACCTGTAAATCACGTCTTTTAAACAGGTCGCGATTTTTAAGTGTCAAAAGCTCTCCAATCTTCATTGTTCTGTTAAAGTTTTCTAAATATTTGCAATAGTCCCGCCATATAGTTTTATTCACCGGATACACTATTAAAGGTTGATTTTGAGAACGGAAGTAACTTGATACTTTTAGGATTGTTCGTCTGTCGTCTGTTTGTTGAATTTGGCACAAAGCTATTTCAGGGCTATTTGCGTTAGCCGTTCTTAATTTTAAAGTGATAGACTTTAGGGAAGGAAACTAATTAACACTACAAATCGCTAACTCTTGGGCTACTCTTTATTTATGAATAAAGGGATTGAGCGTCACGTTATACTGCCCTCATGGTTGAAAGGGCAAACATGTTCGTTGATGGGATTCGAACCCACGAATCGAAGATTGTGAGTCAAGTCCCTTAAATAGAGTTAAATGTGTTCCAGTAACAACTATTCAACACGGTTATGTAGGTCAAATTAATGTCAGTCACTAAATTATGTTGTTAAGAATAAACCGTCTTTGTTTATCAGACAAAATACCGACCGATTTTCAGTTTTGTAGACTTCGTGCCTAAACTAAGATATAATTAACAATTTACTTTACAATCGAAATAAAATCTTCAGTTAAGTATGAGAATGTGAGATCAACACCTCTTATAACACTTTGATGATATTCTCTAATGAAAAAATTTCTTACAAAATGTGTAAACCTATGAAGAAAAGTACAGAAACCTAATTTTTTATGCACAAATAAATTTAGAAATAAAACTTTTTTGTCAAAACTGGCATAATTAATAATCGTGTAATACGTTATTCAATTTTAGATGCATTGTTTTTCTCCTATACAGTATTTTCTATAATTTTTAAACTACCTTTAGATGAAGAATATGTAATAGTTCTTTAAAATAGAGCAGACTCGAATCCAATTTAATTCTTTTAGCTGCAGGAGTCGTACTTAGACTAGGTTAACAGTAATTCTAATTGTATTTGGGACGAACCAGCAGTACAAATGATATGACATCTAGAAATGTTAGAGAATTTACAGATATCGTTAAGCATAAGAAAAATAATTACAATATCTTGGATAAGAGTGAAAGGTTGACAATTCAGAATGTATCATGAACCACTATAGTGATTCATAATAAGGTTCGCCTAGGTTTGTTTTTGAATTTCGCGCAAAGCTACACGAGGGCTATCTGCGTTAGCCGTC